GCATACAAACATTTAACTGTGGAGGGATTTCATCCAACAGGAATTTCTTCCATCATCTTGAGCTTTCCACTTGCCACCAGTTTTGTTCTTCTCTCCCTCTGGCTTTTTAGTCACCCAGGGAAGAAGACAATTACCCATCACTGCTCAGATATTAAGAGTTTGGCAGAGGGGCTCTGTAAAAAACCCTGTCAGTCCTCCTGGATAAGTTATTGTTGGGAATTAGCTGAGCCTGGGATAGAATGGTGGGAAGAGCAATATGAACACGCCTCTTTCTGTCCCTCTGGGGGAAAAAATGAACATTTCTCCTCCTTCACGTGCACACTGGAGAAGATGCCTGATCTTTTGAAGTCACTGCAGAAGCCTCAGTGGAGTCACTCCATCACCTCCTGGGTGGGGTGGTTTGGGAACAGAGAATGGGTCAAGCTTTGCCAGCTCCTTCAATGCCCAGGTTGATTTCAAGCAGTACTGACACACTTCCATGTGTGTATGCATGAAAGCAAAGGGAAAACAGCAAATGTGTTTTGATTACTGAATAACTCAGTGGGACTTGCCTTCAAATATGGAATCAAATTATTTTGTTCTGCATTCAGGTTTCAAGCTGAGAGAAAAAACCACCTTTTTCATTCTAATCTGACTTTTAAGTGTATTGAAATAGAAGTTTAAAGTGTGAACTTTCCCTTCCCTCTCTTTCATATTGCGAAGGAAACTGCTTCTGACACATCCTGTGTCAGTGTCTGGCTGCTGCTGATCACTGATGAATGGTACTCAGGCCATCCATTAATTTCAATTCCTTCGGGTTGTAACCTATATCAGAGGGGCCAAGTGATAATGAACATGTATTAAAGTGACTCACAATACCAGCATTCAATTAATTATAAACTGATTTTTAAAGGTATTTGGCCTTTCTGATGCCACTGTCAACAGAAGCTGCTGCTCAGTGCCAAGCAACAGAGAAAGGCCAGAAGAGCAGGGAAGACACCAGGAACTGGTCACATTTTCTCCTGTCACAGCACTGACTCAGGGAATAGAATTAAACCTGGAAAGGCACAGGCTGACATTACTGACCTCCTGCTGCCAAAGGAAAGAATGAGAAATACAAAAAATTTTCCTTTTTGGGGTTCTTCAGTTCAAAAAAAGACACTGAGTCAACCAAGAAGGTTGGAAAAGCTGGAAATACGAGGATTTACAAGGGGAAGCTGGTGTAGAAGATGTGTCCATGCTCATGGTGAAGGAAAACCCCGTTATTGTGTGAAACTCCCTAAGGGAAGCACCTAGAGAAGATGGGTCCCAGCTCTTGGAGGTACTAAAATTTTGACTGGGAATTGGGTGACCTGAACTGCTTGGCCCTATTTGGAGCAGGTTTTTGGATTGGTTAGTTCAAAAGAGGATATCCAACCTAAATTATTCTGATGTTTTATGTAAAGGGTTCCATCTTCCATCTGAAGATTTCCACCAAAATCTTCCTCCAGAGCTGGTGGATATGAAATTTTGGGTATAATACCCAATGGCTTCATTGAATATTTCTCCATTTTGTAGAACTTTAAATATTTACCTCAAACAGAATAAGAAAAGCTCCAGAGTATACACCAAATATTTAAAAACTTAATAATTCTCTTTCTTTTTCTGTTTCTCCAGTCTCCATACTTTCTCTCTACTATCCTTCATTTTCCTAGGAATTCCTCAGCACCCTCTGTGTCCTTTTTCTGTATGACATGCCTTTAAGCTTTAAAGACTTTAAACAGCAGCATTTAAAGTCTCCCTGTCCTGGTGTTAACATGTGTTATGGGTTTGGGTGTCCCAGGACATGCACTCCTGAAGAGTACAAATTACTTTGTGGTGTTCCTGCTGTCTCCTGGAATGATTTCACCCCAGCCACAGCTGGGACAGTTGATGTAAAAACATTTATTATCCATTTACCACTATCACTCTGCTCTTAACATGACTCTTTCATGTGTTCTCTCTGAGGGGAAAGAAGGGAATAAACACTCTGCTCTGGAACTCCATCCAGAATGCACATGTGAGGAGGAAAAAATGCCTTAAATGTGTTTTTTATCTGTCTAATCTTAGCCAGACCTGGTGTCTTCTCTCAGCCAGTCATTTCAATCCATGAAGACATAACAGAGGAATATTGACCTAATTTTCTCTACTGTTGAATATGTTGATATTTTTATTTAGCCTTACAAGATAAGAAAGTGGCATTAATTACTTCCTGTGGAGAAACTGAGGCACAGGAGAAGACTGGGATTCATCTGCATAATTTGGGGTAACTTATTTGTCTTAATTTAATTATCTTCAATCTCATTATAATTAAAGGCAATCCAGTCAACAGACTGAATGGAGTTTGCAGTGTGAATAACCTGACAAAATGCACCTCTGGTTTAGGATGAGATAAATCACAGAATGGGTTGGGTTGGAAAAAAACCTTCAAGATCATCCAGTTCTCTACAGCCTGAGTGTGACTCAGCTGCCTTGGCACTGAATTTATTGAAACTTTAGTCAACCAGTCTATGCATTTACATGTTGCTGGTCAACAGGACAGAGAGCCAAGAGGAGCCCCATTCTCTCCTACAGCCCCTTAGACACTTTGGGACACCTAAAATAGGTCCAGGAACCAAAGCCCAGGCCAATGTGGTGACTCCACACATCACTTCTGAAATCAGGGTGGAGGGACCTGGGACATCACCCAAATCATGGAATTGCAAAGGTTGGAAAAATGCTCTAAGTTCATCCAGCTGTCAACACCATTAAACCCTGTCCTCATCCACAACCCCTTTGAACACTTCCAGGGATGGGGACTCCATCACTTCTCTGGAAAGCCTGTTCCAATGCTTGATAATGTAAATTAAAATTCACAGATTTTAGTGCCTGGAATAATTTTCCCAAGGTTATCTCTGCTGCCTAAACATTCTGGAATCACATCATCCAGCACTGGGGGTAACGTGCTGTTCACTGTCCCCTGGGATACTTGATGAGGCTCTGGAAAGAGAGGAAAACAGCTGGAAAAGGAGTTGTCCAACCCTTGGTCACTCATTACAGTAACGGCTTGAGGAAGACCTTAAAAAGGAGAAAATGAGGCTCAGAGGAGACATTATTGCTCTCTACAACCACTGAAAGGAGGCTGAGTGAGGTGAGGGCTGATTTCTTCTCCCAGAAAAGATTAGCACAAGGGGAAAGGGTCTCAGGCTGTGACAGAGCAGGTCCAGGTGGGATATTATGAAAAATTTCTTCACTGAAAGTATGGTTAAGCACTGGAATGGACTGCCCAGGGAAATGGTGGCGATATCATGCCTCAAGTGCTCAAAAATGAGTAGGCATTGCACTTGGTTTGGTGGATGTGGTGGTATCCAGTCAAAAATTGGACTCGATGATCTTGAAGGTCTTTTCCAATCTGAAGGATTCCAGAAAACAGAGCTGCTCCAAAGCCTCCAGCTCCCTGGCAAGCTGTCACTCTGTGTGTGGCTGTCTGGGCTGCGAGCACAAGGCATTGAGTGTCTGTTTATTTGTATTATTTATGAAGCAAATTATTTCTGTGCCCGGCATCTGGAAACACGCCATAAATAAAACACAGCAGAGTCTTAAATTTTACTGCTATTCACAGGCAAATGTCCCTCAGCTCTCCCTGCCCTATCACAACAAACCTCTGTAAATAACATCCCGAGCTTGCTGTTAGTGCCAACAGACATTGCAGAGCAAATTCAGCCTCCTGCCATCTTCTGGAGAAGAATTGGCAGGAGTCATCAACACCAAAAATGCAGCTCTGCACCTCCAGGAGAAGCTTTCTAATGAGCGTGGAGCACAGGAAAAGCAGATTCTCTCCAGTATTTGGGGGTTGCCTCGTGACATCTAAAGACAATCCCATCTCCAGCTGTCTTCCAAATGGCTTTGAGCAAGGGTCCAAGAGGGAATTCTTTTAGATGGGAGTTTTACTAAGGAGCAAAAATCTATCATGACCTGCAGCACAAAATATAAATCCACACACGGGGTCAGGCTGGATTCCAGGTTCAGCCTTAAGTCCAGACTATTCCAATTTGCACCAGCATTGAAGATGCAATAAGTGAGAGATGCCTCTCCGTGAATTAAGGTGCCAAGGAGATCATCTACCAAAGTCAAGAACAGGGATTTATTTAACAATAAATGTGGGGTAGAGAGATTGAACCAGTAGGAAACAGGAGAGTGAGAAGGAAAAATGAAGGGACGTGAGGGTAGGGGGGGAAGAGATCAAACACAGGACAGTCTAGGACACTTGTCTCCATCAGTGTCCCATCAGTCCTTTGTCACCCTGCGCTTCTCTGCGCTGAGGTATGGGCTGTTCTTGTGCAGCTGAAGACTCCGGGTTGTTCATCCAGGGTTAACACTTTTCTCCATTCTATTTAAACGGCATCCAGGAAGGCACTTTCCTGGTTGTCCTGTGAAAAGAGAATGGGTTACCTGCAATGCTGGGGCCCAAGGAGCATGTCTCAGTTCCTAAATTCCCCTCCCTGGAAGCAGGGTGTGGATACACCCCCACAGTACAGCCTGGGGCTAAAGTCAGCTTGTGTGGCGTGCACAAGGCAGGACTGCCATTGTTCCCAGGCAATCCCTGACCAGGCTGCCTTGCTGGTGGCATCGGATGAGGGTCAGGGGTCGGCAGCAGGACCTACCTTTGGCAAGTGGTTGCCTTGGCCACCATCCACCCATCCATCCATGCATCCCACCTTTTCATCTCCCTGGTGCCGTTGCCTCATGGACCAGCTGCTGTCCCTGGGAGCTCAGCGTGCCCAGGGTGAGCCCTGAGGCATCTTTGGGCAAATCCCTGGTGCTGGCCCCAGGCTCACTCCTCCGGCTGCCCGCTGAGGCAGCTGAAGGAGAAAAGGCGGCGCAGAGCCCGCCGGGCCCTCTTGGCCATGGAGCGCCATCGCCATGGGGCCGGGGGCTGCGGGACGGCTGCGCTGCCAGCGGGCCAGGCTGGAACGCTGTGTGCCAGGGGCTGGGCAGGCACCGGGCACAGCCCTGCCAGTGGCTCATCCCCACAGGGCTTTTCCTGGGGAGGGGCGGCCTGGGCACAGCCAGCCTCCATGCCTGCTGCACTGGCCTCCTCCGCGGCATCGGCAGGCGAGGCGCAAACCCCGAACCCCTTTGGGTCTCCGGGCAGCGCCCTGGGGAGGGGCTCGCTGTGCCCCTGGTCGCTGAGGTCGCTGTCCGGAGGAGTAGGTGCCGGCTCTAACTCTTCGTCTCGCGGTGGGATGGACAATGGGCTCTCCAGCTCTCTGTCCCACTCTTCTGATGCTTTTTCTTGCTCCCGCTTCTCCAGGAGCTCGTTCAGAAGAGTTTCCAGCGATGGCGAATCCTCAGAGTCAGACCCCAAGTCTGCCAACAGCTCAGGAGACACAAGCTCTGAGTAGTTTTGTGCCTCTCCTGTGGCCTCTTCGGTCAGGCTGCAAGTGCTGTGGGGCACTGAGGGGTCTGCAGCTGGTTCCAGGGTGGCACTTGATGGATCCCTGAGGTCGCAGCTGGACGCCATGGGGCTTTCTTCATTGCCCATGGAAGAGAAGATGTCTTCAAAGAGCTCTGTGTACATTTTCTCTTCCTCCACCTTCTCCAGCTCCTCTCTCTTTTGGGGCATAATATGAAGCAAATTTTCAGGCCTCACCCACTGCTGCTCGTGAAGTGCAGTGGGCTCAGCTGGCCAACGAGATCCCATCTCCTCACAGGGGCCTCCAGACAATGGAGAAGCTGAGAAACCTGAGGTTTCCTCAGGCTCTGATGTGAGGAAGAGCTTGCTGTTGCCCTCATCTCAGGGATCTTCAGCCAGGGCACAAGCTTCTGCCTCCAAGTCATTCTCCTCCAGCAGGGCAAATAATAGGCTCTTCAAGTCTTGGTCCCGCTCTCCTGCAGCCTGTGCTTCTGGGAGCTCTTCCTCCTCCTGCTTTTTCTCCAGCTCCTTTGCAGAAGTGGCACAGGGCTGTGAGTTTTCACAGATAGAGTACCACACAGGCTTCCAAGCCGGCCGCATCCCGGTGCAGAGCGGCACGCCGCGTGCAGGTGTCACGGATGGCAGGCAGTGGCCCTGCCTTGCCACTGACCCATTCCAGAGCCCTCCAGTTCTGCTCTCCAGGGTAGGTCTTCCCTGGGCTCTGCCTGCAGCCAGAGTGCCCCATGGAGGAGGTGGCACATGCTCTGGCTGGCCCCTGGCCGTGGGGCCCGCAGCACGGGCTGTGCCTCCGGGAGAAGACCCAGAGGCAGTGGCTGCTGCTGGTGCTGCTGGCAGAGGGGGCAGCTTGACACTGTCCCAGGCTGCTCCCACAGCACGTGCTGTGCCCCTGGGAGAGGATCCAGAGGCTGCTGCCACTGGCAGAGGGGGCAGCTTAACGCAGTCAGTGGCTGCCCTTGAGCTTTGACCACTGAGCTGGTGTGGAGGGGCCAGTGTCAACGGAGGGCCATGGAGAGGCGGCAAGTCCGACACGGACAATCTCTGTGGCCCTGTGACACTGCTGCGGGGCACTGAGTGCCCGCCGTACTGGCTGCCCCTGCGTGTGCAGGACCAGGTTGGGCTCCGTGACCGGATGGGTCTGAGGGACAGAGTGGGCCTACCCCCAGGGATGGCTGTGATGGTCGTCCAGGTGACCTGAGGTGCCGCCTGTGGCTGCCTGGGGGTCACCTGTGGGGAGCAGGAGGAGGCACGGGATGGAGGCGGCTGTGTGAGCACAGCGTCCCCCACGTGCCTGCAAGCACAGGCCTGGCCCCAAGGCCGGTGCTGGCCATGGCAGCCAGGCTGGGCCGGGTTCCCAGCTGGGCTCGCTGCCTCTGGGGCATTGCTGTGCCTGGGCCATCCCAGCACCGGCCCCTCCGCAGAGCATGGCCTGGTGCCAGGCCTGGCTGTCTCTGCCCCAGGGCTTCCCCCAGCTCCCACTGCAGGCTGTCCCTCCATCCCCGGCCCTCACCTGGTGCCGCCGCCGGTACAGCAGTGGCTGCCCCTCACGGGGCTGGCCATGGGCATTTGCCTCCTGCTTTTCTGGCATTGTGGAGTGCTCTGCTGAACACTGGCCACAATCACCCAGGGTAGCTGCTGCCTCCAGAGAAGCTGCTGCCTCCTCAGAGCGCTGCTCTCCTGGGAGTGGCCACTGCAGGCTTTGGCAGCCCCAAGGGTCATGACACGCACCCGCGTCACAATGGCCTCTGAGCACCATGTCACTGCGGGTCACAAAGGCCTGGTGGGCATGGCCTCCCCTTCTCCCAGAGGCTTCCATGGCTGATGCCCCTTGACACAAAGGCCTTTTTAATGCCTTTGCCCCTCAACTTTGCCTACACTTGTTTCTCTCTTGTGAGTTTGCGGGCCCCAAGTTGGGCAACTCCCTTGGGGCTCCCCTGCCAGGGCAGACCCTCCTGGAGCAGTTCTGTGTCAGGAACAAGAGACACATTGGACTTTTTCAATCTTCAGCTTCTGTTTGCTGTATTCTTATCAAAACTTCAGCACACTGCACCAGACTCTGTGTGCATTAAAAACAGCACAAAAATGTCCCACAACCTCGTGCTGCAAGATCTTTTTAAGTCTAATCAAAAACTAAACTACCAAATTAAGAAGTGACACCTAAATTACTTTCCTTTCTAACCAAATAACTGACCCCTAAAGACCCGCAATGCTGATTTTTCTTCCTAATTACAAGGTACCACCTAAACCCAAGAAAAAAGAGGAAGAAGAGAGAAGAAAGGAATTCGAGACAACACCCTATATCCTCCATCTTGAACCCATCTATAACATACTAAAAATCTTAAAACCTAAATTTCTCACCCATGTGACATTCTACACTACTGTCTACAATCTCTACAATCTATTTCACACTTTTGTGGTTTCTAATTTACCTTGAGGCTTTGGAAGCTTTCTCCATGAATGAGGGTCGAAGTCAGTGTTTTCCTGGGAGTCAGAGCACCCCAGGGCAGACAGGGGGATATTCCCCTTGCCCTGGCTTCCCACACTCTCTCAATGTCTTACAGCTCTCTCTTGTCCCACCTTGTGTTCCTCCCCTAAACATCCTTAAGGTAGCCCTTCTGATGTACCAAAGTGCTTTTCCCACCCAGCCCACCCTGTGTCCCAGCCCTTGGCCCTGACCTCCTGTAGAAAGATAATCAGGAAGGAAAAAGCTCCATTTGAGCTTAATCTGGTGGCTGCTTTGAAAGACTATAGAAAGTGTGTTTTTTAAAAAATATTAATAACAAAGGAGGGCCAAGGAAAATGTCTATTCTTTATTTCATAGAGGGGTGGGTGAGGATGTTAGTAATTTGCCAGGGACATCCTGATATTCTGTGTCAGCCATAGTGTGGCCAGCTGGACCAGGGCTCTGATTGTCCCTCTGTTCTGGGCACTGGTGTGGCCACACCTTGAGTGCTGTGTGCAGATGTGTGCCCCCATTAAGATGTGATTATTGATAGATGCCTCTACAGGAATTGAGGCTTCTTCTCGCTCCCATTTTTGTGCTCAGGTCTCCTCAGTTTTGGCAGAGCCACAAGGAGTTCCTGGCTGGAGTCCTGGATCTAGTGACTCCAGACTTTGTGGGATGGGCAGTCTTGGTCATAATTAGGGTATTTCAATCTCAGAATCATAAAATAGTTTGGCTTGGAAAGGTTTGAAAAAGCATCTTGTTACAACCCCCTTGGCAAGGCATGGAGCTCCTTCCACTATCCCAGGTTGCTCCAAGCCCTGTCCAACCTGGCCTTGGACACTTCCAGGGATGGGGCATCCACAACTTTTCTCGTCAACCGGTGCCTTTGCCTCATCACTCAATAAATCTCAATAATCCAGGACAAGGGGGAATTCTTTACAAATTGAGACAGCACCTTTATGTTAGCTATTAGGAAAAAGTTTTTTACTGTGAGGGTGGTGAGACCCTGGAACAAGTTGTCCAGCAAAGCTGTGGATCTGGAATTCAGATTGTGTGAACCTAGTCCAGTAGAAAGTGTCCCTGCCCATGTCAGGGAGCCGGAACTGGATGATTTTTTAGGTCCTTTCCAACCCAAACCATTCCATGGTTCTGTGACTCTGTGACAGTCGCTCTGTCCTTCTGACAGTCACACCTTCTCCTAAACTGGGATTGCTGTGGCTCATCCCCTTCCCACTGCCCGTCCTCTCCTTCCCCCAGGGAGACACAGCTCCTCCCTGAGCTTATTATCTTCAGGTATAGCTCAATAATTAACGACCCTCGCAGGAACCAGGAGCTCAGTCAGACTGAGGCTTCCAGTCAGTGCAGGAGGAGCAGGGCTTGAAGTAAAAGGACTTGTAATTAATGTCCTCTACAATATGCAAATGAGATTTCCTTGTCCTTAGACCAAAGGCAACTAAATTAGTCAAACCAAAAGGGACGAACAGGAGACAATGTTTAAATTAGAGAACAGAGGGAGGATGATGCTTTTATTCCACAGTAATTGAGATTACAAATCCAGTCTCCCCTGGACCAATGAGCATTTCTGTCTGCTCAGTTGCCTAATTTGTGTTTGGCTCAAAGGAAGAAGTTATTTTGTTTAATTTTTTTTTTCTCTTCCTCTACAACTCAGAAAACCTGGAATAGGAACAGCTCTGGGAAGGAACAGCCAGGAAAGCAAAGCAAGAAAACACAGCAGCATCACTGAGGTAATCACTGAAAGCAAACAGGAGCTCCTGGGATCCTCCCAAAAAGAAGGTTTAAGGAAAATCTTGGGGCAAGGGCAAAAAACCCCACATTTTACAACTTGAATAAGTTATCTTTGCTCCTTATAGGAGGATGGAGAATGGGGTGAGTGATTCTCTCAGTAGGAAAGGAAAAGGGTGGATGTGTATTAAAGCCGCTGGAAAGGGAGAGAAGGTGTTTAGAAATACTCACAGGAATTAAAAAAGGCAGAAAATAGAAAGACTGGGATACAGTGAACACAGTGGGGTCCTTAAAGAATGAAACTGGTCCTCTCTGGCTTCATGGCATTACCTCATCTCTGAAGCAGCTTCAGGGTTAATATCTCCCCTCAGATTCAACTGCAAAAAAACACTGGAGAACCACAGACCTGCAAATCCATCTGGCATTCACCTTTTTTTTTTTTTTTTTTCCATCCATTGAATTCCAGCACAGCCCTGTGCTAAAACTTGGAAAAACCTTGGGCAGGTAGGTGAAGATGGGTTTCATCTGGTCAGATGTTTACAGATTCCTCCAAATAAATGGCTGGAGGTGAATTATTTTAAGGAAACTGTGGAAATTTTTATGAAATTGGGCACCTCATCATAATGACACTGTCTGGACTAGGGAAGATGAATCTAAAATGGTTTAAAAACTGAACAGGCAGGTGATTTTAATTTGTTGCAGCCTGTCTCTTAAGCACAATAGGAGAACACAGAAAAAGGGGATCATAGGATCATTTAGGTTGGAAAAGACCTTGAAGGTCATCAGGTCCAACATTTAACCCAGCACTGCCATGAAACAATGTCCCCAAGTGCCACATACAGCTACATATCTTTTAAACACCTCCAGGGACAGGGACTCCACCATGTCCATGGGTAGCCTGTCCCAGGGCTGGATCAGCCTTTCAGTGAAGGGTTTGTTCCTGATGTCCAGTCTAAACTCCTCCTGATGGAACTTGAGGCCATTTCCCCTCATCCTGTCACTTGTCACCCAGAAGAAGAGCCTGACTCTCACCTTCTTGCACCCTCCTGTCAGGGAGTTGTGGAAAGCCAAAATGTCCTTCCTGAGTCTCCTTTTCTGCAGGCTGAGCCCCCCCAGCTCCCTCAGCTGCTCCTGGTGCTCCAGACCCTTCCCCAGCTCCATTCCCTTCTCTGGACATGCTCCAGCTGCTCAGTATCTTCCCTGCCATGAGGATTCCACATCCCACACTTGGGGGATGTGTCCCAGTGTCACACTTCACCTATGAGATAGCACTGCTGGTTTCTCCCTCTGATTCTGTAATATAGATCCACAAGTTTCTCTTAGGAAATTTTCTCTTTTCTTTGGCAGTTTCTGGGTGATGTCCCTGTTCAGAGGGCTCTGTTTTCCTTCTAGCCAGGATATAGGACAGACTGAGGCTGAGGAGGGCTGGGGTTGAATAAAATTGCTTTTATTGCGCTAACCTGATGTTTGATCTTTCTCAAATCACTTGCCGTGTCCATAATTCTGTTTTTCTTCCCTGTCCCCCCCTGGAGTTACTGCTGGGGTTGTAACTCATTCAAGGGAAGAAATCAGCTCTCTTTATTTTCATATTTAATTCCACACCTGCATTTCTCTGGGGCCAATTTATTTGTTGGTTTTTTTTCGAGGCTTTCTCTCCACACAAGTCACTGTGCCTGCCTTGCCCACTAGATGTCATGAAATGCTGTGGATGCTCTCAGACCTGTGGGCGAAGGGGACTTTTAGCTGCTTGGTAGCAAATTGCTGGAGTTCCTCCCTGGCCATCTGCTTTTTTGGAGGTAGCCCACTCAGCTGGGAACTGTGAGCAAAATCATCAGCTGCCGCCAGCACCGTCCTATTTTCGGCTCCAAGGAATCACGACTGTTGGCTGCGCTGCCAGGAACAGCAGCTCCTGGCATTTGCTGGGGGTTGGTGAGTATAGGAGAAAACCCAGAGGGAGAAGGGTTTGGCTTCAGCTGACCCACAGTTAGGTATGGACAGCTCTGCAGTTCTTCCAAGTCTTCCTGTCTGCTGCAGGAATAAATTTCTTCTCTTCATTTCCGAGCCGCTGGAAGGAGTAGTTGTGCTGGAAGAAGCTGTGCTTGGGATTGGTGGAGGCACTTTCCTGGAAAGGCACTTGGAAAGGAGAAATATGAAGTTTATTGGCTGGAGATGTGACTCATCCAGAGATGCCGGCTCTCCACAGCTTCATATACAAAGGTCTTCAGGGTCTAAGTGTTCCTTAATAGATTTTGGAAGCTTTCCTTATTTTTTAGAAATTTCTTTTAATTTTTTCAGAGCTTTCCTTTCACTTCTTTTGCATTCTTCATATGATTAGTTACCATTTATCTCTTCTATTTAAAGAACTCTCTTTGGTTAGGACTGGCCTGCAGTCAGCAGGGCTCAAGTGGGGGTGGGAGAGATATTTTTCATTCATTGCTCGACTGGAGAAAAAGTGATGGTTAATGGAAGTGGTTGCTTATTTCCCTATGTTTTATTTCTTTCCCTCTGACGGAAAAGAGAGGGAGAGGATTTCAGCTGAGGGGTTTCCAAGATGGAATTAATCAAGTTAATCAACAGAGGTAACATTTGCTAAGCCAATTTTGTGACTAGACATCACCCCACTAAATTCAGGGAGAGATTGCTGAGCGACATCCTGTCACCACAACAGGACACTTTTGTCCCTCTCCTTCACGCACAGCACTGCTCCAGGTAACCTTGTTCCCATGGAAAAGGTTGGCATGACCCTCTTTCTTCCTGGAGTTCCACATGAATGTGCCACGTGAGTAAGAAACCTGAGCACATCTTTGCAGAGACTCATGCTAACAGTTCAGCAAATGTCGGATTTTTCTGAGCCAACAGCTTGTCAGACCCAAATAAGACTTCCACATTTCCAGCATTGGAAGCAAAACCCTCAGGATGTTTTGCAAAGGTCTTTTTTTCCTGCCAACCTCTTCCTGTTGGTGTTCTGACCTAGTTTGTAAGTTTGATCAGGCCAGACAAGTCCCAGGAGGTGCCAGGGATGTGAATCCCTGGTTTGAGGGTGGAAAGGAGGGTGAGACTTTGTCCATATGGACCAAATCCATTTTAAAACACTTAGAATCTGGGATTAAGAATATGTGCCAGCTCTTTTATGTGGTCTTCGAGACCTGGGCCTGCAGCTCTAGAGATCCAGCAGCAGAGAAAGTGAAGAGACAAGAACAGAAGATGGCAACAGAGATGATGAAGGGACTGGAGCATCTTTGTTATGAGGCCAGGCTGAGAGAGTTGAACATGTTCAGTCCAAAATAAAGTGACTGAGAGGGAACCTTATCAATGTCCAGTGATATCTGCAAGGAGGGGTCAGAGGATGGCCCAGGCTCTGCTCCATGGGGCCCAGCAAAAGGAAAGGAAGAACAGGCAGAAAATTATGCCCATGAAATTCCACTTGTACATGAGGAAAAACTGTCCTGTGCAGTGCCCAAGCCCTGAACAAATTGTCTAGAGAGGATGTGGAGTCTCCCTCATGGGCCACATTCCAGAACCATCTGGACACCATCCTGGGCCAGGTGCTCTGGGATGGCCCTGGCTGAGCAGGGAGGTGGCACCAGATAACCCCACTGTGGTCACTTCCAGCCTGACCCATTCTGTGATTCTCTGAGAAGAGACACCTGTTCTAGGGCAGACAGTGGCTGCTGGCAGAAGAAAGGCTCCAAGTCCCTCACTGAGCTCTGGGGAAGTCACATCAAAGCCGCACTGCTTGACAGGTGAGAAAAACCATGAGCAAATATGTGGAAGGTCAAAGAAGGTCTGAGCTTTGTGGGAAAACACTTGAAACCCCTGTTCCTCTACCTGAAAGTAGCTTTGGAGTCCTCTGCAGAGAGATCCTGCCTTGCCCTGTCCAGAGAAGCCGTGGCTGCCCCATATCTGGGAGTGTCCAAGGCCAGGTTGGATGGAGCTTGGAGCAACCTGGGATAGTGGAAGGTGTCCCTGCCCATGGCAGGGAGTTGGGATGAGATGATCTTTAAGGTCCCTTCCAACCCAAACCATTCCATGATTCTGTGATCCCTGCAGAGTGACAAAACCACCGGGAAGCCAGAGCTGGCCAGCAGGACCCTGGTGGCTGGGATTATTTGGGGTGACATGTGCCAGCAGCGTGGATGAGCCCATTTTGCCCCAAAAGTCGCAGCAATCTCCGCAGGTCCTACATGTCTTGCATCCATCCCTGTGCTCCCTGCTGTCATCCTCGTCCTTCCCGAGCCGATTTTCCCTGGTTTTGTGTGCTTTGGAGCCAGGAGAGGGCAGCAATGCTCATGGACAGACACGCAGCGCCGCTGCCGTCCCCGGTCCTCTCCGAGGGTCTGGCAGTGACATCCCAGCGCCCCGGTCATGTTCGGATGGACAGCACTGTACACAGGTGCCTCTGGCACTTCAGGCTCAGGTAAATCGGAATCGGCGTACAAAACTTTTTTTTTTTTTTTTTTTTTTTTTTTTTTTTTTTTTTAATTTGCAAGCAGAAACTTTTCCTCTGCAGCTTGGTCCGCACAAGCTGTGATTTAAAACCCTGTTCAACACCCTAAGGTGTGGCCAAGCAGCCTCTCCATTTTTTCTCATGCAGATGAGACTCTGGATACTTTTAAGCAAGTGGTTTTGATTCAATTGCACTTCTTGATGAGCATTTAAAGCCCTCCACGAATTAGAAAATTCAAGAAATGAACACCCTTTCTCCACCCAGCCTCGAGTAATAAATGAAAAATAAGAGATTTATGAAATAGTTTCCCTTAATCAGAATTGATTAGAGTCACAAATCTCTGCTAAGCAGTGGGAGCCTGCATCGAATGTGGACACATCAAAAAGGTTCCATCTCGAGATAAGAATTTATTTTTTTTTCACTGAGAACAATCAAACACTGGAACAATCCAACCAGGGATGTGGTGGAGTCCCCAGTCCTGAAGGGTTTCAAGCCCCATCCCTGGAAGTGTCCAAAAGCCAGGCTGGAAGGG